GCCAGACTACCTCAAGTTATAGTTTATAGCATCTTGTATAAAATGAACTATGTATTGTTTGCATTAGGCAATTTATGATAAATTATCTGTTGTAGTCAGAAACAAAAAAGTCTCAGACGCCTCATCCATGTCAATACCTCACGATCAAATCTTTTTTGTCTCCCCATTTTTTTTTTTTACTTGCTCTTACCCAAGTGGCTGAAAAAAACAAAATAAAACTGCAATTTGGTTTTCAATCCTCCTCTTCACTTTACAGTAGGTATTATAAATTGGCAACAAATCCAACTAGAATTGGACTCAGTAGAGCACATACCTCTGCTGAGACCCAGAAGTCTCTTTACATTAAAACAAGCCACAAATCCACATAACGTTTCCTCACAGCTGCACGTTTCCTCACAGCTGCTACATCCCAATGAAACCACATTTAAATTTACTAGGTTACTATTTGGATCTGCACAACATTTTACACACCCCTAAATATCAGGCCCTTAAATGTGTCTGAATTTTTTTCAACAGGATTCACGTCACACACCATATATAAGAATGTAAAATAGAAATAAAATAATAAAAACTGGATCTGCACCAACATTTAATGGGTTCATCCCTGACCGATACCATATCCTCAAGTTCATGGCAGTCCATCCAGTGGTGTCACAAAATCATGCTAACTAACTAACAAACAAGGCCCAACCCTTTACGCTGCTGCACACTAGAGGATAATCAGGCCGATTCTAGGCGGTCGGTCCTCCATGTTTGTTTTTCTTCTGAAGTCACGTTCAATCACGCCGGTGTGAAAGGTGGCAGTAATGCGCATATAGGTTGTTGCCAACCGACATAAAGAGAACTGAAGAAGAAGAATCTTGCAAGTTTCTGTGAGATTTCAAGTCTCTGAATTCGCAACTGTGAAATCGTTCCTTACAACTGGCAAGTGTGTGGTCTGACGTTCTGGCCAAATTGTGTGTGTGTGTGTGATTGTGTGTTTTCTGAAGATTATAAGATTTAATAAATCGGTTAAATGTGTCATTGGGTCTGTTGTCTCCCACGTTTTCTTTTTCGGCCAAGAGATGAAAATCCTCTCGTGTGCAGCATCCCATATGAAACCACATTTTCAATTCACTAGATCTAGATTTGGATGACTCATAAATATACTGCATCTTTCCACCAAGTTTTGTGGTAATCCCTGCAGTAGTTTTTATGTAATCCTGATATCCTGCAGACGAAACCATAACCTCCATGGCAGAGGTAATGATGCTGAATTCAGATTCACATGTTACAATGACAAAAATCATGTTGAAATATAAACACCTGCACAGTGATTAGGTGATGGTCACGTTATTCTTATTCTTATTATTATTATTATAAGTACACTGCAGTGCTGGCCGTCCCAAACACATCATGTTCAGAGCACTTTGCCTCACGTGATCATTCTCCCCAGTCGTTACATAAGACATGTCACATCACGCCCTGAAATGGTTTGCAAGTGTAGCCTCTAACCACTCTTTGTCACACTGCTAAGACATGGTGTAAATATTGTGCCGTGGTGGCGTTCGCTTTCACTGTCAGTGTCAGTCACTCTCAGATGAGGAGGCAGTGACACACAGTGAAGGTGAACACTCAGTCTAAAAACCATTTCGAGCAAGAATGTCAGATTTGTTTATCTGCAGACACAATCTGAAGAATAGTTGACTAATACAGATTATAATTATAATGAAATAACATTGAGTTGTCGAAAAACTGTGCTGTTAAGAAATCTGCACTTTGGTCCGCTTCACCTCGCAAATAAATGTAACAGAAGAAAACATCACAAAGTTCAACATGGTAAATTAGCTGGATTGTATTTACTGAGATGTTTTAAAATCATAAGAGCATAAATAATAATATCAAAAGTCAAATAGTCAGTTGAAATGCACCAGTGAAAAAGGACGGGGTCGGCCAGTCAACCCAAGCATACAAGATACAACGTGACACTTTACATTCAGGAATACACAGTATTTTATGATTCATAATGTCAGAGGCACAAACAAGTATGTAATGTCAAAACGATGATGCACTGGAGGCTGTTTTCCCCTCGACTATAATCATTAATACCAACACTACGTTCTGCATCAGACATGTATGGGCTGAAGGTGAAATGTCAGATAAAATGGATAAAAACCATTAAGATTTGTCAGACTTTCCATATGGATCTTAAAGAAATAGGTGTTTTCACAGGATTAGAATCTCAGCGAGTTCAGATTTGTTTTATTCAGGGCTCAATGTGAACACGAGTCAAAGGATTGAGCTGCGCCACTGGCTGTCAATCCCTCAAAATCATGCAGACAGATAACGGAACTGTCACTGCATGAGCCCATGCATGTGACAGCACTGGCCTTGCCCTTATACACCTCGTTGGCCTGTCAGCCCTTAAATGGCTGCTTATCTCATCTGACGACAGACATTTCATGGTTCTGAGTGACAGGCATCACATGAGGCACATGATTTGGAAAAACCATGTCACACACGTATAGATTATCTGCCAACGACAGCAGTAAAATGCATATAGATACATTTATGTTTTCCTCACAGTCAAAATTTCTCCACAGACACAGAAAACCTGGGTTAATGAGTCAGGGCATGGAAGGGCTGAGGTTGAAATGTTCATCAAGAATTAAATCACGGAGTTTACCCCACACCAACATCCTCTGGAGGTCAATGTCACTGTCTCAAAGGCTCCTAGTTAATCTCAGCTGAACAGATGAGTTACTCGGCCGGGCTCCGAGAAACGATAATAGCAGTGTCACAGTTTAGCCAGACTCAAAATACTCAATCTGTCAGAGGCACGGTTCAGCTGGTGAAGCTGTCCCTGGCTCTCTGTGTCTGCCTCCTCCCTTTGATTAAAACATTCACACGGCAGAGGGTTGCGCAGGATTATTACGACATGTTCGGACACAGAATGAGTTCAGCTGTGGTAGAAATGACAAATGTAAAAGACTGTCTGTGTTAATGAGCGGCACTTTAAGGCTGGGTATCGACACTGTAACAATAATTAATAAGCAACACAGGTTAAAACAATATGATGCTTATAAATCACACCGGCATGAGAGGTTTATCGCATAATTGACTGAATTAAACTGTCTTTAAATTTTGACTTCAACTGTAAAAATTATAGTATAATTATATTTTAGCCAAATCACCCTGCTTGACACAAAACATGAATGAACAGCATCACACTGCACATGCTGCATACGCATTCTATATTGTAATAAGGACTTTTCATAATGACGTCATTGGGCTCAAGCAAATCTAAATGACGGGAAATACGTTTAATTTATGGGAGAATCCTTCACGTGCTGACACAACAGTGGACTTCATGTGTTTGAGTTGCACTAAAACTGGCCATAACTACTTAATTCTGCTGAGTGTCCTCCACTCTGACTGGAAGTTTTGTAATTGACTGGTGTGCACATTTGCATAGTGATGAAACCTTGTTCTTTATCCTGTGTGATTGCTTAAGACCTTGAGAGTCAATGTTGCCCCTGCATCATCTCTGACAGCGCTTCAAATTTTGCTCCAGATTTGTCTCTGCATTCCACTTTCCCCTCCTCAGATTTCATTTCTCCTTCCTCCATCAAGCAAAGTGATGCTCTGAATATCAATCGCCTTGTTGTTTATAGGTAGCTGAGAAGAAGATACTGATTGCCTAGACTACAAGTATGGCTCGTAACAGGGACTGAGTGTCTCAAACTGATGCTTAATCTGATGCTGAGGACACTGTTAGGATTCTTCAAACCATCATTTATATTCTCTTTGAATTTCTCCAGTGGCTGTCAGCTCTCCGTCAAGGCAGAACGACCACACTCTTAGCGTCACTCATTGCATCTTTACCACTCCTCCATGTGTCCTAGTGTACTTGCATGTGCACATGCTTGAGTCATGAGTAAACATGTGTCGCCTGAGGACAAACCTGCAATTTCACCATCTTTCTTGTTTTACGCAGCAAATTTGACTGTACAATGTACATTCTCTAAATCATAGCTGATCTGTTGTCAAGCTCCTAATCTCTCATCTCATAGTCCAGTTGTAAATCCTGAAAGGCACAATTCTTTCCATCTGTCAATCCTGCTTGAATTGTCCTCATCTTTTGTTGAGGATTA